GTTGATTTGGAAAGAGAATTCTTATTTCGAAAGCTTTAAGTTGAATGAATTGACTAAGATTGGATTTTTGAGTAAACCGACCTCAGAATCGGGATTCGAAGGTTCCACCAGGTTTGTATGATGATTTCGGACTTGGGCGTATGTCCAAATCGGGTTTTTGGAAGACCAGGGAACGTTTCAACACTTATTTTGGAAGTTAGCATTTTTGGAAGAATTTTATAAGTTTGGGTTGAAGCGCATTTAAGTGTTAACAATGTTTGTTTGGGATTCCGAGTCTGGGAATAGCTCCGTATGGTGATTCTGGTGTTGGGAGCGTGATCGGAAGTGAATTCGGAGGTCCGTGGGTTATTTTGAAGTCATTTAGCTAAAGATAGAAATTTGAAGGTTTTGAGGAGTTTGACCGGAAGTGGACTTTTTGATATCAAAGTCGGAATCTAATTTCGGAAGTTGAAGTAGGTCTGTAATGTCAAATATGACTTGTGTGCAAAATTTGAGGTCAATCAGACGTGATTTGATAGGTTTCGACATCGAATGTAGAAGTTTGAAATTTTAAAGTTCATTAAGCTTGAATTGGAGTGCGATTCATGATTTCGTTGTTGTTTGATGTGATTTGAGGCCTAGAGCAGGTCCGTGTTATGTTATGGGACTGGTTGGTGTAATTGGATGGGGTCCCGGGGGCCTCGGGTGCGTTTCGGGGTGGTTTCGGATCATTTCGGGTTGTTTTTCTATAGTTGGTGCTGGTGTCTGGTGTTGTTCTTCGCGTTCCGAGGATGCTCTCGCGTTCGCGAAGTAGGATTGGGCTTCGGGGATTTTCTTCTTCGCGTTCGAGAAGATGTTCTCGCGTTCGCGAAGAAGAAAATCTCTGTTATGCAGGTCTGACTTCGGAAGCTCATATCTCACAATCTATAAGGAATTTGGAGATGATCCAAAAATAAAAGTTGTAACCCTTTGTATCTAGTTTTCAAAAATTTAAACCATTTAGCATTTGAATTTGTGTAAAAAAAAAGTTATGGCCATTATACTAGAGGCTGTCTGAGAAGAGTTTGGAAAATGGTTTTTGGGAATTTTCTTCTTCGCGAACGCGATGGGGGTCTCGCGAACGCGAAGAAGAGTCGTCCGGGCAGTGTATAAGTGTAAAGAAATGGGTTTGGCTTATTTCATCTTATTTCCTCCATGGGAGCCGACCTAGGAGCGATTTTGGAGCTTCATTTTCATCATCCATGTCAAGGTAGGTGATTCCCACCTATTGCAATTTAATTACTTGGATTATATCTAAATTTTAACATGAAAAATCATGTGAATTAGTAGAAATTTTGGGATTTTGAAGAAAATATAGGAAATTTGTATTGTTGGATTTTGACCACGATTTTGGACATGAAATTGAGAGCCAATTATATATTTGAGTTCGTGAGGTTGTGGGTAAACTTTATCTTCTAAAAATTTCGGAATCCGGACACGTGGGCCCGAGGGCATTTTGCCAACTTTTCGAGCAAAGTTGGGATTTTATATAAATTGAATTGTTATGAGTATTAGGGTGTATTTTCATTGGTTTTCCCGTTATTTGGCTAGTTTTGGACCGTTGGGGCATTGGTTTGAGTCGTTAGAAGGGGCTTGGAAGCCGGTTATTGGATTTCGGAGCGAGGTGAGTCTCCTTTCTAACCTTGTAAGAGGGAATTGTCCCCATAGGTGAATTAATTGGATATGTGCTTTTATTTGTGGGGGCTACATATGCACGAAGTGACGAGAGTCCGTGCGTAGCTACTATTATTCTTAAGTCCGGGTAGTCTAGGACCCAAAAGCATGCTTTACTTGTAATAATTGTAACTTTATTGACAGTTTAAATTGCTTTAATTGCATCGAAGTGATAAATGATTTTCTAAAAGAGTTAACTTTATTTTTTTGACTTGTAAAATAGAAATTGACACTTCCTTGAATAATTGTCTCCTTGATGAATGTCCTGATGGACTGTTTGAATACGTGTTTCTATGTGTACCTGTGTAGCATGTATGATTCGCGAGCAGGGTGATTGTTTATTTATATTTGATCGCATCGCATGTATGATTCACGAGCGGGGTAATAGATGAATCTATGGTTTCCGTTGTTCGACCCTCGACAGTGCACATTTTACATTTATATTGGATCGGGTCGTACGACCTCGGAATGATATCCGCATGCTTGTATTGCTGTTTGAGATTTATAAATGTTGATATTTGTCTTTCCTGGCCGGAGATAAATTGATAAAGATAACGAAAAGCAAGTCTTTGGAAATCCATTATTATTTGGGAAGTTGTTTTACCTGCTATTTGGCTTCATGAATTATAATTGTTTGTTTTTATAAAATCCATGATCCCCTCACATTTTCACTATATCATCATTAGACCACTAGTAAGTGTCGAAGTCGACCTCTCGTCTCTACTTCTTCAAGATTAGACAGGATACTCGTTGGGTACATGTTGTTTTCGTACTCATACTACACTTGTTGTACATTTTTGTTGCACGGGCACATGCATCTTTAGCGGCCTAATGGGCGTAGCAATATGGTTGATATGGAGACTTAGGTGAGTTGCACTTCTCGAGATGACTCGCAGCCAGCAGAGTCCCCTTCAGAGTATTGTACTGTATTTTCATATCTATCCACTTTGTATTCCGGACAGTTACTGTATTTTATTTCCTTCTTAGTAAATGCTCATGCACTTGTGACACCGGGTTCTGGGATGATTATTGGGTATCTTGTATTTACTTCCAAACATTCTTTTATTTACATTGTAAGGATTGTCTTTTACTAGTAAAATTGAAGGAAAAACCATAGTTTTTCAAAAAATTTAAAACGAGAACTTAAACAAGTATTTTGGTTGTCTTGCCTGACAGCAGTGGCCGGTGCCATCACGACCCTTAGTGGATTTTGGGTCATGACGTATTCATTATTTTTCTGGTGTTTAATTAAAGATCCCTCCCAGTATTATATGTTGCAGAGTTTGTATCATTCAAATATGTAATCATAAAATTTTAGCTTATTATTCAACACTTTAGGTTTGAGTCACAGATACTTCAAGTATAATATACTGGAATTGTCTAAGTTTTACATATTAAATTAACAAGCGTCCAGATTTGTTCTATACCATTTTATTTATAATTTTTTATAGTAGTTTGGATACTTCCAGTATAATACATTGGAGTTTTATGACTTTTTCATATTAATTCATAAAGCTCCAGTATATTATACTTGTGTTTTTTTTTCAAGAAATTATGTGAATGTGTGTTCTTATTTGAATCAAAGATAATTCCAGTATAAGAAGCTGGAAGAATCTGAGATTTTGATATTTATTCAAAAATCTCTAGCATATTATACTGGCGTTATATTTTGTACCATTTTATGCTGCAGACTTTATTGATTTCACATATATAATCATAAAAGTCTATCATTTTAATCAAGAAATTATGGGAATCTTAAAAATTTAGATGTATTCTTCTTATTTGAATCACAGATACTTCCAGTATAATAAGCTGGAAGAATTTGAGTTTTTTATACTGGCGTTATATTTTGTACCATTTTATGCTGCAGACTTTATTGATTTCACATATATAATCATAAAAGTCTATCATTTTAATCAAGAAATTATGGGAATCTTAAAAATTTAGATGTATTCTTCTTATTTGAATCACAGATACTTCCAGTATAATAAGCTGGAAGAATTTGAGTTTTTTATACTGGCGTTATCTTTTGTACCAAAGATACTTCCTGTATAATACGTTGGAGTTTTATGAGTTTTACATATTAATACAAAAAGCTCCAGCGTATTATACTTGTGTTTTCTTAATTTTTGGAATCAACCACTGTAAAACTATTTTATGAGATACTTCCAGTATAATAAGCTGGAAGTTTCTCAGCTTTAGATATTAATTTAGAAAGGTCCAGCAAATTATACTGGCATTATGTTCTGCACGATTTTATATTATGTTCTGCACGATTTATATTCTGCACGATATAAAAATTTAGCATTTTATTCACAATATAATCTACTGGTCTGAATTACAGATATTTTCAATATAATCTACTGGAAATTTTTGAGTTTTATATATTAAATTAAGAAAAGTGCAGTATTTTATACTGGTATTTTTTTCTATACCATTTTTTTAGTAATTTTTTATAGTAGTTTGAATGAAAGATACTTCCAGTATAATACATTGGAGTTTTATGAGTTTTGCATACTAATACAAAGAGCTACGGCGTATTATACTTGTGTTTTGTTCATTTTTAGAATCAATCACTGTAAAACCATTTTATGAGATATTTCCAGTATAATAAACTGGAAGTATCTCAGCTTTAGATATTAATTTAGAAACGTCCAGCAAATTATGCTGGCGTTATGTTTTGCGGAATTTTATATTATTTTTTGTAGTTTTGAACAATGTAGATTTTATTAGTTACGATCTAAATTACAGAAAAGAAGATATATAATACAATTAAGCACAGATTAACGCATTGAGAAAATTAGACATTAACACAAATTAAAGCATTAAAATTAAACCAGAAAATTCGAAGAATCACAAGAATAATTTAAAAACTTAATTCACTCAATTATTTTACTGATACTTTGAATTTTCTGGTTTGAATTACAAAGAGAAGAATCATAGAGTATCACAATTAAATCTGTGATCGTAGAAGAAAATCAAACTACAGAAATTCAAATAATCGAAAAAATAATTGAGAGAGCTTACTTCGATTTGCAGATTGACGCCGCAAGATTATGCTAAAGAAGAATATGAGGTAAGTCGCGTAAATTTAATAAACAAAATAGGAGTATTTTAGTCAACAAATTGTTACCGTTCTAACTTACCGGCTAAATATCGTTGACCTTTGATTATGTGGCTAAATTTGATTGACCAGACATAAAACTGGCCATTTATAAATTTTTCGCGATTTTATTTAAGTTCCCCAAAAGTTTTAATGTTTTGCTGTCAAAAGAAGCAAAGTGACCGTTGTTTTGCTGTCTAAAAGGTGGTCAAAAAAGAATATATTTTCCAAGAAAGAAAGTTCATCAGGATGATACAAAGTTCGTAGCAATAAACAGTTCCTTTCCCTGCGATTTTGCTGCTGAAATATAATTCTTCCTTTAAAATACAGTTCACTGAAGAAAATGTGAGCATAACTATAACTGTGAGAATGACTACATCAAAACCGAGCACTCCTTCCCATGATTCTGTGCTAAATTTGGTAAACCTCTCCTGCAATACTTCAAAAACTAGAGCTTATACAGGGAACAAGATTTATATCCTATTCTTTGCTACTTTTTCTGACTCGATTGCTGTCAAATGCCTTATCCCGTTCTCTTTCAACCATATTTCACCTCCCGCCAAACAATTCTGGAGCTGCTTCTTTCCCATTTTCAATATCTTTAGACCTTCACTCAGCTTGGGGAAGAAACCCTCAGGTCTTAAACACCAAGCTCCGAACACCCCGAATAAAACTGTTAAATCATTGCTAAGCCTCTCAACTCCTCCGTCAGAAAATTTAGCGTTGGTCATTAAAATACCATTAAAAATCAATTTGTCCAGCCCAGGGGCCAAACTTCTCCAGACCCCAACAAAGTCCATTCTATTCAAAGCTTTTTCAAGTACTGACATCTTTCCTTGCAGATAATCTAGTGCCCCAACAAAAGATTGGGATACCATCCACCCTTCTTCACCTTTTTCCTGCCATTGCTTCTTGTTCTTTAGATAATCTCGGCAGCAAACACCGAATCCCCTCAAAACTACCACAGACAACTTCTCGACCCAGCCAGTTCTAAATTCTTCCAGCTTCTTAATTTCTTCATAAAGAATTCCATTGCCAGATGATTCCTCTGAACAAAAGTCATTTCCATCAGTAGATGTGTCCAATTGAGTAACCTGGTTCAGCCCCATCTCAAGAAAGAAGATATCCTCACACCATTCATTTAAAATAGACTCAAAATAGCGTGCAGCATTTACAGACTTTGCAACTTTCATCAAAGCATCATCATCTGTCAAGGCAGTTAATCCTTCGGCTTCTTGGCACCTGAAAAGCAGACTACCCAAAAACTTGTGTATAATTGGTGGACCTGTCAATTTCAAAAATCTTGATCTCAACGTTATGCTAGGCAGTGATCGACAACGATCAATAACAGCCGATAACCGCTGATGAAATGCACCAGCAATCGCTGGAGACTTGTTGTCTTCTTGGGCTGATAGAACAGCAACTCCATGAACTTCCATCGACCAACTTCTTTCATTCTCAATCTCAGGTTTCAATTTATCAAATGCATCAGTAAGCTCTATATCAGCCCACAAGTCAAGCCAATCAGGCCTGTCACAGAACACCGAAAATGATGAAAGTTTCTCTAGTTTTCCATCTTCCTGCAAAGAAAGCAAGATACCCGAGTGTGAAGCAAGAGACTGGATTCGCTTATCAAATGCTATCATCAGATCTATAAGATGGAGCCAGGATATCCTAGCCTGTGATTGTGTTCCGCTTGTGCTCTCTTCATCCAGCTGACTAACATACACTGGAAATATTTCTTTGGCCAAGTACGTCGATAAAGAAGTAACCATAGCTGAGATCCATTCTTCTCTGCAACTGTAACCCGACAGCATTGCTTCATCAACCAGTGGCTGCAGCAACTCATCCATAGAATCAACATAATCTCGGGTCACCTTGTATACAAGGGCAAAGATGTACTCAGGCTTATCAACCCACTTGGAGAAGTGGTGCTGAGATGCAATTGATATAGGATTGACAAGCTCTTCAATGGCCCAAAGTGGCTGGTGCAAAGCAATTTCTCGATTCTGTCCCTCAAGTTGGCGATATTTTCTTTGGCGCTGCAGTTCCTGTAGACTGCACAATGCTAGAAAACTTTCACAATATAGTTGTTTAAGGTCCCCTTTCATTGTGAAAAGTGGGTTCTGGACATCAGCTGACTGCTTTGACTCTGTGCCCGAGGAATTTAAAGTGGACAGAGGTGGCGGCCAGCCAAGGGAAGTGAGAAGGGATCTGTGATCTGCAATGGCCTGAGGTCTTAAAATGGCTAGAGATCGATCAACTCTATGATCAACTGCTAACACAAGACGTGTCCACTGAGGATATGTTTTTGCTACGAATCTTAGTGTGTCTTCAGTTAACTTCAGTGTTCTGATAGCAACACCTCNCGGCCTCGCATCTCCTGAAAAACATAAAAAATTAGAGAAGGATATAAACAGAATGGCCACAGAAATTTTACTTCCATTCCAAGAGGACACTAACTTCTGAACTTTTTGTAGATGGTTCTCTCCTCAAAGTTCTCTTCACGGCGGAGGAGACCGCATCTTCAATGTCACCAACCAAAGTATCAAGCTTCAGTGCTGTCTCTGGAAATTACAATGGATACGGTGGTTAGAATGAAATATTTCCAAATCAAAATGGAGTAATAGATCATCACCATGTATTAGACTATTAGGCTCAAAACAACTGATATTGATGATGATGCAGATAAGAGACAAACAAACATGGATGGGTTGCCCCCATGATCTATAAGTAACCATGTCTCTGAAAGGAAAGTTCGCCCCAAATCAACAATAACTACGCCCTAATCTCACACTAGTTGGGATCGGCATATGAATCCTCACTAAATATGTATCTCTTTTCGGGCCAATTTTAATTCCAATAATTTTGGTTCCCTAATACTAGAGCTCCTCTACAATTTCCATCATGCTAAATTCAGTAAGATTGTTACATCCATCTAACCGAATTCCCACCTCTATGAAGGAACAGATTGCACAACATAAACAAAAAGGAACTCAATAAATTACAAAAACAAGAAAAGCTTACAAGGAATCCAAGGCCCATTCGGCATATGGCAACAAAGGTCACAATGTTAATTGTCTCCGCAAGAAAAAGTTAAACGTTCAAAATGCCACTAAATATATGTCAACCTCAATTAGCTGGATGCATTGTATATCAATGGAACTAGAGTTTAAATGCGGGAGCTTTTCTAAATACTGTTTAATTTAAGATATGAGTGAAACTTGACCGACCAAAATATATGTGCTAAACTTGAAGATGTCCTCCATTTCATATTTGAATGTAAGCTTTTCATCTTGGGACCATGAATGAATCCACTAAAAACTTGCAATTTGCAACTAGGTTCACAAAAAACTCAATAAGAAATAATATGGCTAACAGAGCTTTATCTTTTAACCAAAACCCTCTAATTTAGACAGCAGAAAACTCTCCAAGCGTAGAAGGAACAACAAAAATAACTCACATATTCCAAAGAAGTTCTCCTATATCCCCTTTAGGAAGGACGATGTAGAAACTTGAAACAAACATGAGCAATATCTCGCTGTTCTCACACATAAACACCAAATAAAGCTTCTTTATAGATCTTCTGCAACGTAAAGAGTTGCTAGCATTTAGTTTTTAACAGACCTATGTCCAAGTATTTGCCTTGAATTCAAAGGTGCTTTTCTTTTCCCTACAATGAGACCAATATGAAATTGCCTTACACATTTTTTTGCCCTTTGGCACTCAACAGACCACTTAATACTCCGCTATATTAAATGTGTCTCAGTGTTTTTGTCACAGCAATAACGCATAGAGATTTGGTAACATAAGCTCGTTTTACTCTGATCATAGCCTAGAAATAGAAGATCGCAAAAAGGTCTTGAATCAGTCATTTAGTATGTGGTAAAATTTGGTGACTGTAAGCCTAATTAGACAAAAGAACCAAAACTGACATTGTTACTTCATTTCACAACAGATTGCAATATATTTCTTCCTTACTGAACTCTGAATTTACTTATTCATTGTATCTTCTGGATACCTTCTTATCTATCTTTTTCCCTCGTTCTAAATAACTGACAAAACTAAAAAAGGAAAAGTTCAAGCCGAAAGAAAACATAGAGATTAGAAAAGATAATTTTGCCATGTGAACTCACCTGCATACGTTCGCACTGTGTCAACCCTAGCAACCTCCTTAGCCAAAGCCGGTAGCTCCTCCCCCAGTACCTTCCCCGATCCTCCATCTTCGCAAAGATTTCAAAAATCACGGATTTCTATAAGTTAATACATATAAGGATTATAACTGGCAAGTGTATGTACAAAATGCAGTTTATACCTGATGAAGAAGCTGCAGAGCAAGAAGCAGACTGAAGATCTCCCAATTTGGAATTTATATCACGGAGAAGAGCACCAGTTCGATCCGAATGGGAGGCGTAGTTGATGAGATAGTTCCGGAGCTGCGTGTTGAGATCCGAAAGGCTTTGATCGAGGGCATGACACTGACTTCGGAGCTCCGAAACAAGACCCGGGGCCTGATCAAGGTCTTCTCTTGTGTTGAGTTTGGCGTTGAGGAAAGAAACGACTGACGGTGACAGCGACGAGGGTGGAGGTAGAGTTCGAATTATCGAGTCCATCGTTGATGTATTCGGATCATATGGTTTATGAAAAAGAATCAACTCGCAATTTTGAGTGCAATTAATATCTTTATTCTGCTAATTTTTGCAACAAGCCTACAGAGAATCCTCGAATTACAGCAGGCCAAAGGACATACTCAAGAAGTTGAAGTCAAATGGAGCACAATTAGGCAAAGAAGATGTTTTGCTGATTATTTCCGCACCCTAATCGTCGGAGAACAGAAGAACGACGAGGATGTCCCTCTGGGGTTTTGGCTTTTGAGGAAGAAAGAAAAAAAAACTCAGATAATTCTGTTTTTTTACAATTTTGTCCTTCATTTATGTCTTTGAACAAAAAGAGTCCTTAATCTTTATAAAAAAGGAACAAATTTGGTCCTTAAATTATAAATGAAAATACACTTTTCATTAAGAGTATATTTGAAGTGATATAACAATAGTAAAGTCATTTTTTTGTTAAAGAAAGTAATTTTATTGGAGTACTTTATTTCCGATAGTTAAATAACTTTTTAAATATACAAAATATGAAAAAAGTAACTTTGTTAACACTTCCAATAGTTGATAAGCAAACTCCGTGTTCTTGTTGTATCACGAGGGTAAATATTCTTAGGTTTGTTTTTGTAGCTTTCACATTTCTTGACTATTTTGTAAAACATAATGGATGTACAGAAGAGAGTTGCGAGGACAGCTGCGGGAATAAGAGATGTTATATCTTTTGCACTTGTTTTGTAATTTTTTACTTCTTCTCACGATGATATTCTTTTATCTTTCATGTAATATTTAACTATTTAAAATGGTCACCCTTGCCTAATCACTTGTATCTTCTTCTTTTTTCTCTTTATTGTCCTGCTTTTCATAGCGTTTCCACTTCTTTTTTAACTTGAAAAAATTGTATTGGACACTCTAAATATTTGCTTGCACTTCATAATAAATTTGCTATTTTTCTGCATTTTTTTTTCACCTCCTATCTTTCTCTTTTTAGTGAATTTTGGTCATAAGGTAAAAAATCTACAACGTTGAATATTTGAATGCTGCACTAAGGTGATCACGAATTTCCCAGACTTCTGAATTTCGATTGGCAAAACTCATTTGCCCCCAGTTAGAAGTTTCATAAAATTTAAGTGCTGATTTGTTCGTTAGCCGTACAAGTCACTATTAAAACTGTCTTAGAACAAACTAGTTTTCCCTTCTTCCCTTCCCTTTAAATCATTAGGAATGGAACACATAGGATAGAAATTATGTTTTCCAATACATTTTCCACTGTATCAACAAAATGAAGAAGGGGTTTAATACTAGCTTTCTAAGAATTCACAAAGTCCTGCTTTTGTTTCCCCTGGTCCTTAAATTGAACCAAGGATAGTATTAACATTGCAACTATATTGTAGGTCTTGATTCCAAAATGTTTACTGTAAAAAACTAGACTGTACAAAGATTCCAAGAACATAAACTAACTGGACAAAGATTTCAACATTTCCCTTATTGGAAAAAGACTGTTAATGGGTAGGGACACTAGTTTTAGGAGACGCCCAAAATGAGTACTCCTAAAAGGTAGTGTAAGAAACAAATGGGATTTTTTCTAGTTAACGGAATGGTGTACTTGAACGACAAAAATCTGTATCCATCATGTCTTCGCTGTTAGAGGAGGCAGTGAATTGGCAGAGGGTGTTTTATACTATGTATGACCTGAACTCCTGAAACAGTGAAGTTTCCTTTAGGTCTGTTTGGAAAGCCACCAGGTAATTGGAATTGGTGTAATTACTATCAGCCTAGTAATTACATAGTTGTGTAATTATGACGACCTATTTATTTGTCATAGTGTAATTACAGTGTAATTACAAATTTACTATTTGGTTGCACAAGTATAATTACACAATTAGATAAAAATTTAAATGAAGTAATTATCAAAACTTATAAGTTAATATAATAAATATATGCCTATAAATTTTTAAAGTATAAATGATATTATATTTTGTATTTAAGATGTATATTTTTCGTGAATATACATTAATTAGTAATCATATATTTATAACTAATATTGTAAAAATAATTATTATATATATTCTAAATAAATAGTATTTAATTTAGTTACTTACAAAAACTAAAAACATATGTTTTGTAAAATATCATGGAATTCATGTTTGATAAAATAAATTAATATTTATAAATATAATGTCATAACGTTATTCAAATGAACAACATGCAATATGAGCCAATACTACTAAAACAAGCAAATTGGAACCATGAATATAACACAATTTTAAAATATAATAATTAAAAATAGTTTAACATATGTCTAATTCCAACATAATAATAATAGGTTCCAATACAGCTTAAGATTGGGAGACATAATAAGTTTATAACCACATTCACAACGAAATTCCACTTTAATTGCATCACTTATTAGATACCAAGTTTGTTAATGACTCATTATTTCTAATATTAGGAGGTGTAGTTTCAAAAAATAAAATAATAAAATAAATATTAAATAAAATATAAGCAATTTCATGGAATAACATAAAGTAAAGGTAGAGAAATAAAACATAAATAATGTACAAAGAAAATATATTTTAAAATTTCAAAAAAAAAGTAAAAATAAAATTAAAAAATTAAAAAAAATAGAAATAAAAAGTTATAAAGAAAAAGAAAATAAAAATAAAAGGGAAAGAAATGAAAAGCAACCTTGTAATTACATAGTGTAATTACCACCAATTCTCACTTCCCCTTGAGAATTGGAGAGTGTAATTACACCCCTCCAATTACACGCAAATCTATGCTGGTTAAGTAATTACCTGGCTAAACAAATATGTCAAACTGTGTAATTACACCCAATTACACTCAAATCCAATTCCTAGGTGGCTTTGCTCTTACACTTTCCCTCTCTTTCCTAAGTACATCTTTTTTTCCTTCACAAAAAGACTTTACGAACCACTGACATGTAACGATAGCGACACAGAAGATGTTGGAGATGACAGCTAGTGTCACATGAGTAGTATCAGTAGCTTAATATACTCACTTATTCCCACAGTTAAATGACACTTAGATATTAGTTTTAAGCAATTATTTGACACTGCCATCATATAGATATTGAATATGAACTTCCTCCTACTAAACAGAGAAGCATAGACAGAATCGACCAACTATAGAAGCACATAAAATTACATCCAACATGGTATTTCTGTTTTCAATTCCAATATGAAAATGCAAATAGAGCTTTCAGAAGATATGCAAAAACTTATATAAGTTATAGACTCTGTAGGCAAGAAAGCAGGATAAGATATCAAAGTTACAGCTCTAACACTATAGATACCTTTTGGGGACAGAAGCAAAGAACCACTATGGCATATCGCAGGCAGCATAATAGTAAGGTAAAAAAAAAAAAGGCAAAATACATAAGTTACCCCTTGAACTAAGGACCAAATCCCTAGTACACATTTTTTGCGGATAAAAATCACCTTGCACACTTAACCTTTCTAAAATGTGTCTAATACACGCCTCTTCTGTGTTTGACCACTTTTTTTTAACAAGTGTATACGACGCACCAGTAATGATATGACACGTGTAATTAACTTAAACAAAGAAAAAGAAAATGAAAAACCGTCCTTTTTCAAAACAGAAAGAAAAAGAAAAAGAAAATAACTCGCCGGAACCCTCATCGGCAACATTGTCATCTTCTCCCTCAGTCACCTCCCTCAACAAAAATCATAAATTTCTCCTAATTACATCTTATAATAATCTTCAGCCCCCCACCACAATGCTTCCCCTTCCCTATATCAAGAGCCCCATTTTTCAAAACATAGGACACAAACCAGCAGCCACAAACCCCTCTTCTCCCCATTTTTTTTAATTCTCACATACACCTCTAATCCCCGAGAAACCACCATTGCAAAATTGTTCTTTCATTTCACCCACAAAATTCATCACTAATTAGATTCCAACAAAAAAAAAAGAAATGAAAAAGGAAACACACTGGAGTTATTTATGTCAAATGGGTGATGTGAAAATGGAAAATAGACTACTGCAATGTCAAATGGGTAAAGAGAAGTGGACGAGACTGTTTCCATAGGAAATTTGCATTGTTCAGGTGAAGAAATATATGAAAAATATGTGTGTACGAGCTTCTTGATTATTGTAAATTGTGGATGGTGAATCTGTGAACATGACAGTGAATTAAAACTTAGTGGATATTCTGTGTGCAGGTGAATTGTGGAGTGCAAAAATGTCATCGGCTAAGGCAGATTGGGGAATAGGAAAATGAAAATAACTCCAAAAAAATTTAAAAATGGCCACGTGGCATCCGTATAAAGATTCAGACACAATTTTTAGCACTCACTCGCTTCTCTTGTGTAACTAACACGCGCATGGCACATAGCTAAAGAGGTGTGTATTAGACACATTTTAGAAAGGTTAAGTGTGTAAGGTGATTTTTGTCCGCAAAAAATGTGTGCGAGAGATTTGGTCCTTAGTTCAAGGGGTAACTTATGTATTTTGCCGTAAAAAAATAATAATAAAAATATAAATGAAATTCAGGTTATCATACAACGCAGTTTCAATTATGTTTTCAGTAAAATTTTCCAAATCTTCATGGCAAACTAGAACCTTGTCACTGCTTCAACTTATTGGTCTATGTCACTTCTACACATTATGAATTTCTCAGGTTAACCAATTGATAATGATACAAAATGACAACAGAAGATAAAAAAGTAAACAGGTGACTTTGAGGATCTAAATGCAGAGAGGAGATCATACAGACTTCGATACTCCCATCAAAATAAGACACCTCAGCAACCCATCACTGCACAATTATAGACAAAATTTCCTGAATGTTTTCTGCCCAATAAATTCCAGTTTGGTGCGCCTTCCGTAGGTTCCCAAGAATTAATCTCAATGAATCCCCCATTCAATGCCCTAGGTCCTCCAATAACTATGAGCTGATCTCCACATGCCCTAAATGCAAGCCCCCAACCATTCATAGAAGTCGCATGCTCGGGCAGTCTTCCTACAGTAATCCATAAGTTTCTTCCCTTATCATATTTCCAGAGTTCATTTTCAGCGTAATAAGCAGCGTATAACTCATTCTTTACAACTGCTAAGAGTGGAGGTGCCTTAGCTGCTGCAAGAGCATCATTAGCTCCAGCCCCTCTATTACGTGCTGGGTACATATCAGGTACCTCAATCCAAGACCTTGCTTTCAAATCATACACTTCGCCACAAGTAAGCACGGTTGAATTGCCAACACCAACCCCACCAATTACGTAGAACTTCCCATCCATGAATACACCTGAACACAATTTTCTTGGTTTATTCATGCTTGGGAGAGTCTCCCATGTTCCTGTTTCAGAATTATAAAGCTCCGCCGAGCTTAGTATATTTCCCCTCGAGTCACACCCTCCTGCTACAATTGCAATTTCCCCAAGGCTTGCAGAGCCAAAGAGGCACCTAGGTGTGTTTGTCTTCATCCCCGACGACCATGAGTTTGTGAGGATGCTGTATTTGTAGATGACATGGTACTCTATTTCCTTGCCAAAGACGAGAAGTTCAGTACCAACTGCCAGTGATTCCTTGTCAGAACACATGAAGCATTCATTTGAAGTCATTGTTGGTAAATGCATCCACCTACGACGAATGGGATCAAAAGCCTCCCATTCAAGGAGGTTGCAAGAGAAATAAACCCAATGTTCTATGATACCCATCTGTCTCCTGAGCCTATAAAGTTCTCCACTCTGAATTAATGACCTAAAACTCTGGTTCAATGAAGAAATAGACCCATAATCTGACCTTGAGCAATGAAGCAGGCAATTTATTGAAAGGTCTCGCCCAATTTGGTGGATTAAAGAACTTGAATCAGAATGAGTGCCACTATCATGCTGCTTATCTGATTGTTCCTCTTGAGAGAGCGAAAGATCATGAAGACACTGCATGGTTTCCTCCTTCTCTAGGGCATCAAGCAGCTTTGATGACTTTCTCAAACCCTAAACCCTAAACCCTAAACCCTAAACCCTAAACCCTAAACCCTAAACCCTAAACCCTAAACCCTAAACCCTAAACCCTAAACCCTAAACCCTAAACCCTAAACCCTAAACCCTAAACCCTAAACCCTAAACCCTAAACCCTAAACCCTAAACCCTAAACCCTAAACCCTAAACCCTAAACCCTAAACCCTAAACCCTAAACCCTAAACCCTAAACCCTAAACCCTAATGTCTGCTACATCCTCCAAAGGACGCTTTCCATTTGAGTGTTCAATAACATGGAAAGCATAGTATATCCACTTGCTCTCTTGCTCACGCGCATAAGGCAAGTCCCTTGAAACAAGATATGATCGCTCCAACATGGTGCCTGATATGCACAGGGGTCGGCAAAAACCACTCCTAGCCTGCAAAAGCAAAGCCCATCTCCTTCCTTAAAAATCATGCCAAATAATCAAATAAGAATTTAATTTTATAGGTATTCAAATAAGAATATTACAGCTACTACAACAGAATCTTTCAATAGAATGAAAACATTAATTAACAGAACCGTACAACTTGGTTGTCTCCAAACACTAGACAGAGCAAGCATATAGTATTCTTTCAATGATAAGAGATCAACAGAAAAGCATGGAAGTCAAATCAAAAGATTTATGGTGCTTCTAACAAAGAAAAATAGGTGAAAGTCGATGCAACATTATAACCAAAACAATTGTGAACGAGCTAAGAAATTACTATTGGAGTACCTGTTAGTTCAAAACCTATGTATAGCCGAAAGCAATGGCACTACAAAAAGGAAGGGCGGAGAAACCGCATGTTTTTACTCCTTTAGGACATCTAATTAGTAGGATTCCGTGGGAAGAGAGAAGGGAAAAAGGATTACCACCATCAATAAGTTTGGATTCATTAGGAAAGAAAGAATGGAAAACCATAACCACCTTTCATGAGTTTTGTTATTAGATTTGTAACCGTCGCAACCATTTTGTTATCGGAAATTCTTTCCAAACATGTGATGCAGGACGCTTCCATGGGAAGTTTTTCACTACTTTTGCAAATATATTCCTCACACTAACAAACTCGAGCGGATAATTTTTCTCCTCCCCATTTGCCTCTTTTTTATTCCAGTGTAACAACTTTCTTGCATTGGATTATCAATTATTCATCAAGTCAGGCAACATAATTCCTTCATGTTGGTTTAGAGTCATTTAATCCAACAATTCACAATGAACACATATAAGTCACAGAAAAGACAATGCATTTATTAACATACATTATGAATTAAGACATAAGGTCTGGTTTATGCACTTTCCCTCTTTGTAGTTTGTACAAGTATTTGAACCGGATCTTTACACAAATAGCTAGCCGGATTCACTATTTACTTTTTCTAGCCGGATACATACACTAGTTATATACGTTTATACATGTATATATTATACACCTTCCGGCTATTTTTAGTTTAAGCGGCGGCTATTGTAGGTTAATTCTTATATTTGGAAAGTTCTCACAACTTACGAAACATCCAAATAACGATAAACTTCATTCAATTTTGTTGCAAATATTTTAATTCAAGCCAATAGTAGCCTGCCTTGATAATTATGAACATTTGATTATATCGTCCACAGTTAGAATAGAAAAAAAATCATCTTTGAGGACTCGTAAGATAAACAGTGAAAACTCATACATTCACAATTTTTTTAAAAAATATATATTTTATCTAGAAAGCACCAAATAAACCTAATAGCAATCCCATGAAACGGAAAAAATCAAGCGAAACTTCTAGGTCCAAGCCCACCAGCTAAGCACCTTATTCTCAAATCTCAATTAATATAAAGCTCATACTCAATGCCAATAGTAAAACTGAAAACTTGCGGAATCAGCAAACTTCATCAAATTAATAAAGAAAGACATATAAAATTGACTGGAAACAAAATTAGAGCAGAAAAAATCAGAACCCAAAAACATCAATATAAAAAGGAAAGTAACTTACTGATTTTTGCGAAATGAAAAATCCACAGGAGTGAAGTTGTTACAAACCCATCAAAACGAAAACTTCAATCCTTAATGTTAAGCAGAAACGGCAGCAACTATTTAACAAGTTCAGTAGACAAGTGTTGTTGGTCAGGACCTTTTCCTTTGTATATTTACATTTGTATGAGGCCCCCTCGAATCTCAGAGACAGACAGCTGTTTTCTTTTTCTCTCAGTCACTCTTTTGAGTATTTATTCTGATGTCTGAGAGAGACAGAGAAATACTGTAGTAGGAAAGATGGAGCGATAATTGCTTTTTCTCTTTTCTTTTCTTTTTCCTGTTGGATTGATTAGTGGCTGATAATAATAAAAAATTCGACTACATTTAGCGGAAAAGATGTGGGTGGTGGCGGTGGGTGGGACCAGAAACGGCAGAGCAACAAAGTGACGGGGTTTCATTGGAAGAAACCGACATTGATAACGGCCGTTTGCGCACGTGTAATTTCTCTTCGCACGCGAAACGGTTTTTGCCTTTTCTATAAAAGGGTATTCCCGCTCTCCGTATGCCGCTCCGTTGTGTTATTTAGCGCTTTGTTCCTTTCAAATTCTTTTTCTGTTCGATCTATTACTTAACATTCGCTTTATTACTCCCTCCATCTTATTTTATATACTCCATAGATTTCTAGAGTCAGACTTTATAATTTTGATCCCGAATTTAAATATAAAAAATAAAATAACTAACAATTAAAATATTTAAAAAGCATATAAAATTTTGTAATAAAAAAAATTATTTGACTCTCGAAATCCGAATTAATCACACAAACTAAGGAGTACTTAACAATGAGTCTTATCTTAGCAACATGACATATATCTTGCATTTATTTAGTACAAATAGCATGTACGTGGGTTTTTCTATTTCATATTTTAGTATCTAATTGGACGATTGACAATATATACATGGTTTAGATGGTGCATTTTAAGCCATTAAATTGTTGTCTTGAAAGAGAACACCACCAAAATTGGTCAAACTTATAAAATTTTGACTCTCTAGGGTGTGTTTGTATAACGAAAAATGTTTTCTTGGAAAATAAGTAGTTATCTTGTTCATTTTTCGGTGTTTGATACCCAAATTAAAGAAAATGACTTCTTAAGAGTATTCATAAATAATTTAGATATAATAAACATGAAGCCATAAACTTTCAAACCAACAACCTTCCGAACCCACAAATTTCATAAACTTTTGAACCGTTAAACTTTCGAAATCGCGGAATTTCGAACCCCTAAACTTTATAATTTCTAAACCCGTAAACTTCCAGACACATAAACCTCCGAACTCATAACTTTGGAACTTGTAAAATTTTGAACCGATAAATAAAAAATTAAAACTGAAAAATATATTTAAAAAATATTTTTTTTCAGGGANTCCTTTATTTTCATAAGGAAAACATTTTCCTCCAATTGGAGGAAAATGAGTTCATAAGGAAAATATTTTTCAAAATATATAAGCCAATCAAACATGAGAAAATTGAAAAATATAATGTTTTATTTCGTACCCAACACACCTTTAATGTTCTTCAATTTTCGTCGCACTTTTTTTTCCCAGGATTGTAAAAATAGCAAGCTTATAAAAGTTATATTTCTAGTAGACATTTAATTAGCGTTTAATTTACAAACAAAAATCTTCAATATGGATATCGCTGATTTGATAATAGTCTATAAAGTATCTGGGAGGATTGACAAAAAAAGTTAGTTATTAGTATATTTTAGAAGTGACTGAAAGCTATAGTTTCTTCTGAGTTGGAAAGGGTAAAAAAATTAATACACCAATTGAGGAAAAGAGAAGTGTAGAATATAGTTTCTTCTATAAAGTACCAAAGAGCTTAGCAAATATGTTTTATAATTAATGTTTAAGAAAATTTGCGTGCAAAAGTATTTGGTCCTATGTCACCTCTAACTCAATTGGTTTTTTATTTTTTTGTAAATAGATGAATATATATCAATTCACCCACCACAAAACAGACCATATTCGTCATGTAAGACACAGGAAACGACGACAAAAATCCAAACTCAATAGGAATCGAACGAAAGGCCAACTAAACTAATTAAAGTTACTACCCCATCATCTATGATAGTATTAAAGCTTAGGGGTCGTTTGGTAAGAGGTATTAGAAAAAATAATGCAAGCATTAGCTCTGTGCATTACTAATACCTTATTTGGTATACTTGTATTAGTTATACATTATACTTGGTACTATGTTATGTATAAGCAATGCATAAGAAACCATAACATTAGTAATGCAAGGGTTTTTAATGCTTGCATAAACATGGGGAAAGACCTAATTGCCCCCCTCAAATCCCTAATAAAAGCCTTTCCCCATATTATTAGCAAACAAATTTCCTCTTTACGCTTTGGCCATGGAAAAGCACGGTTAATTTTTATCTATAAAGTTAATTTTTATAGTTAAAGTTAAAAATTATGGAGGGTACTTTTGTAAACACCGAATTTTTAAAAAATTATGCAATATTTTAATACATCAAACCAAACAGCGGATAAAAAATAATCTCAGCATAACTAATATCAGCATAACTAATGTCAGTATTACTAATACCAGCATTACTAATACACTCTATTTAGCACTATTGTTATACCTCCTACCAAACGACCCCTTAGTGACTCGAGGAACCAATACGATAATATTTGTAGATATTAATGGATAAGCACGATTTTTAGGTCTCACACTCTAACTCAGATTGAAAATGACAATTTCCCATTATGAGTTATGACAAAGAAACCTTTTAAAGAAAGCTAATTATTATTCAAAATAAAGAATGAAACCCAATAAGTTTGATGGTAAACGCACGTTTTCTACCTCTAATAAAAGCACGATGAAAATAGGGTTCTTAAGAGCAAGCGCGAATGTGTCCGTGAGAAAAAGCTATTGCGCCTTTAGCCGAATAGGAGGACTCCCTAGAAATTCCTTGTTTAGAGAAAGCTGTATAATCAATGAAAAGAGCGGACAATACGATTACTGAAGGTGAGCAGTCTCACATTCTCGAGGAAAAGCAGATGGTGAAAGACCTGGCAAGC